ATGTGTGTGTGTTTAGAGATGTAAACACATATATAGCGTATATAAATAGATATACCTCTGTGTACATATATACAAATGATAAAGAGTGTATGTGTGTACGCACACAGATAATGATATACATATGTATACACACACATATAGGTACAAAGACGATTTATATGTATATGTATATATATACATATTTACATATATATATCACATATATAGATATATGCATAAACACAAAGAATAATTTGCATGCATATATACATAAAACTATATGTTTATAAGCCCAATTAGGCAGTGATATATATACTTCTATATATATGAATGTGTATGTATATACATATACAGATGAATATAATAACAATAGTAATAATTACATATACATGTACATATATACATACATGTGCACACAGATATGCACACACACACAAATGTATATATAAATGTGTTTTTAAATGTGTGTGAGTGGGGTGATTGTGAGTATATATATGTATATGTATGGATGTATATATGTATATAAATATTCATATGTGTGCATATATACAGGCACATTCCTATCAAATGCTAGTTTTATTTGAAAGATGGTATAAGAGTAGTTAGGTTTCAAGGTCACACCCACCCGTACACAAACCGACGAATGGCCACGCGGGATAAAGGTCACACAAGGACTATATAAACTCTCGGCCACATGACTCGGAGCATCAGTCGCAAACTAAACTACCAACATGAATGTCGTGGGTGTCTAGCGCTTTTACTGTTTTCATTTCTTTGCATTAACCAAGAGTTTCCATTGATTTACATTTGTGATCAGGACATGGTCGTGTTTGAGATCTACAACACTGAACTGACACATGCATACGAAACCAATATATCGATACAGTTCCATATATATTCTACATATAATATAATGCCAATACTTCATTTTCTATTAATGCAAAACTCTCCTTGTTTATAGTCGTCTTATCGCATGCATGAAGTTCAGCTATTTATCTTCGGTTTCAGGTGATCCTCGCCTGCATGGCCGCCGTGGCCGTCGCCGCCCCCCAGTATGCCTACCAGACCCCTGCCCCGACCTACCTCGTCCCCGCCGCCTCCAGCCGAGATGAGTCCGCTGAGGTGATCGAGTTCATTCCTATCCTGAGGGACGATCGCGTCCACGAGGAAGACGGAAGGTACAACCTGGATGTGGAGACTGCTAACGGAATCTCCATGTCCCAGTCCGGCTCTCCTGACGGTCCCGACGGCGCCATCGTCAAGGCAGGACAATACTCGTAAGTCATTCAATCTCTGTAATAGATCGGCATTAGAATCCAATTTTCATCGAAAAAATAGTTTTTCACCAGTCATTGTACATGCTCGAATGTAATGATTAGGTCTCCTAAAGACTCTCGTTTTAGATCATATGAAAGCATCATGTGATTCTGTATCAGAACTTATATACTACTATAAATGTTCTAGTTATACTGCACCTGATGGCTCTCTGATCGAGATCAAGTTTGTGGCCAACGAGAACGGATTCCAGCCTCAGGGCGCCCATCTGCCAGTTGCCCCCGAGTTCCCACACCCTATCCCTCAGTTCGTCCTGGACCAGATCGCCTTCGCCGCCGAGGAAGACGCCGCCCGTGAACGTGCTGAGGCTCAGGCTTCCGCCCCCGCCCCCACCAGGCTGTACGGCCAGCCTCAGTAGACCGATGGCTGAAATCTGTGATATTTATTATATTTATGATATTCATAAACGACGCTATGCTGAAACGAATAAAAGTATTTTGATCAGTTCCCGTTTTACTTTGGTACTTCCTTCTGTTACTGAGATAGTCCATAGATTTCCCTCACGTTCGTATACTTATGCGATACATAATGAACATTTATACACTCGCTATACATATACACGTGTGTATATGAATACATTTATGTCTATATATATACATAGACATATATGTATATGTACATATACACATTTAACTATCACCTGTCACCTGCTTTTTCGCTTACTGCCGTTCAAAAAATATTTTCTACACAGGGAAACAAAATTTTCCTCTTCGCTAAGAGAAAGTTTGACATGCTAAGTCTACATTTTATACGTTTATCACATCGTTCATAGAGTCAACTGAGTTTCTGTTCGAATTATATATTCTTTACATTTTTGCTTCTACATTCTTTTTTTCATTTTAATGAAATGTATCATATATGACTGATTTTATTCTAGAAATATATTCTAATCATTAGCTTACTGCAGTAAAGAGAGAGAAAAAAAAACAATTGATTTTTTACCGACGTCCATAATGAGATGAGGACATCTATTTATCATCCTTTTTATTTCTCGTATTTGATATCCTATGTGATGAAAGGACCTGCAATTCTTAAATATAGGACTTCATATCAATGTTTCTTTATCTAAACTTTTAAATCAGTTTGAATATTAAGTATGTTATGTATATAATCGTGAAGTAATAGAAATGAGAATCATAAATGCAGCCTTGGTTCGAAAAACTGATTTTCTACTCACATAGTTATTAGAATATATACTTTTTTTTTCTATATTTCTATTTTCATGGAAAACTGAACCTATCATTAACATGTAAGTACTTAATGTAAACATTTTTTTTTGCATCTTAAACCTTGGCATATCTCAATAAGTCCACTTGAAAAGGTATCAGCTTATGAGTTGGAATTCCATTTCTCAAAGTTTCATGTTTTACCTGTCAATCCTTTTATTTATAGTTACGAATTATTCACTGCGAATCATGTCATCATTACACACCCATATATATTGGCAGACAGACATAAAGATAGATATTCATAATTAATAATAATAATTCTGGGGTAAGTCTGACCGGCTATTGTGACTTCAGTAAAATTATATTTTTTACTATGCTTCTAAAGGACCCACAAGCTAACATTCCTTGACGGCACGGGAATTAAACACAGGTCAGCAAGATTGCACGACAAGGGCGATATCACTGCACACGTGTGTGTATAGAGATATAAACACACATATACACTGTATATACATACAAACATGTATATACAGTGTATATTAAACACAGTATATACATGCTATGCTGAAACGAATAAAAATATTTTGATCAGTTCCTGTTTCACGTTGGTATTTCCTTCTGTTACCGAGGTACTCCATTAATTTCCCTCACGTTCGTATACCTATGCGAGACATAATGATTATAGATGGACAGTTATACACTCGCTACACACAGACACACACGTGAGTATATATCTAAATATATATATAAAAGTCACCTATCACCTGATTCATTGCTTAATGCCGTTCAGAACATATTTTCTATGCAAGGGCACAAAATTTTATTTTCGCCAATAGAAAGTTTGACATGCTATATCTATAATTCATACTTTTATCACATTGGTCTTGGAGTCAAGTACGTTTCTGCTTTAATTATATTTTCTTATATTTTTTCTTCTACATTTGGAAGTTTTGCACATTTATGTGAAGTGTATGTATCACATGATTGATTCTATCCTAGAAATATATTCTAATCATTAGCTGACTGCAGTAGAGAAAAAAAAGTATTAGTATAATTGATGGTCTGCTGAAGCCCATGAACAGATGACCATGGATCATGTTTTATATCTTATCTCCAGTTTAATATCCTATATGATGAAATGAAACTGCATATTATAAACATAAATACTATATCAATGTTTCTTTATCTAAACATATACATCTCTTTGAATTCTAAGTATATTACGTATATAATAATAATAAAGTAATGGGAATGAGAATCATTAATGCATCCTTGCTAAATTATCTACCTATATGGCTATTAGAATATTTTGTTTTCTATATTTCAGTAACTATTTTTATCATGGAAAACTGAACCTATCATTAACCTGTAAGTACTTAATGTAAATATTTTTGCAGCTTAAACCTTGGCATAGCTCAATAAATCCACTTGAAAACGTTTAAGCCAGTGAGTTGGCATTTTATTTCTCAAAGTTTCAAGTTTTACCTATTTCCCTGTCTATTGTTTTATTTGTTTTATTCACAGGTAAGAATTATTTTCTGCGAACCTTGCCATCCTTAGACATCCATATATATTGAGATAGATAGATAAATAGATATGTATATAAATATTTAATAATAAAATAATCTTGGGTTTGGTGTGACAGGCTGTTGTGTCTCCGGTCAAATTATGGCTGTCTGTTTATTGTGATTCTTAACTACCCCCCTGTGTGCAAGGAATGTCCGAGTCTGCCATCCACTGGCAGTGCGAGAATTGAACGCAGGTCAGCAATATTGCTAGACGAGAACGCTATCACTGCACCACACACAACATGAGTGTGTGTTTAGAGATGTAAACACACATATATAGCGTATATAAATAGATATACCTGTGTACATATATACAAATGATAAAGAGTGTATGTGTGTACGCACACAGATAATGATATACATATGCATACACACACATATATAGGTACAAAGACGATTTATATGTATATGTATATATATATATTTACATATATATATCACATATATATAGATATTTGCATAAACACAAAGAATAATTTGCATGCATATATACATAAAACTATATGTTTATATGCCCAATTAGGCAGTGATATATATACTTCTATATATATGAATATGCATATGTATATACATATACAAATTAATATAATAATAATAGTAATAATTACATATACATGTACATATATACATACATGTGCACACAGATATGCATACACACACAAATGTATATATAAATGTGTTTTTAAATGTGTGTGAGTGGGGTGATTGTGAGTATATATGTATATGTATGGATGTATATATGTATATAAATATTCATATGTGTGCATATATACAGGCACATTCCTATCAAATGCTAGTTTTATTTGAAAGATGGTATAAGAGTAGTTAGGTTTCAAGGTCACACCCACCCGTACACAAACCGACGAATGGCCACGCGGGATAAAGGTCACACAAGGACTATATAAACTCTCGGCCACATGACTCGGAGCATCAGTCGCAAACTAAACTACCAACATGAATGTCGTGGGTGTCTAGCGCTTTTACTATGTTTTCATTTCTTTGCATTAACCAAGAGTTTCCATTGATTTACATTTGTGATCAGGACATGGTCGTGTTTGAGATCTACAACACTGAACTGACACATGCATACGAAACCAATATATCGATACAGTTCCATATATATTCTACATGTAATACATGTAATATAATGCCAATACCTCATTTTCTATTAATGCAAAACTCTCCTTGTTTATAGTCGTCTTATTGCATGCATGAAGTTCAGCTATTTATCTTCGGTTTCAGGTGATCCTCGCCTGCATGGCCGCCGTGGCCGTCGCCGCCCCCCAGTATGCCTACCAGACCCCTGCCCCGACCTACCTCGTCCCCGCCGCCTCCAGCCGAGATGAGTCCGCTGAGGTGATCGAGTTCATTCCTATCCTGAGGGACGATCGCGTCCACGAGGACGACGGAAGGTACAACCTGGATGTGGAGACTGCTAACGGAATCTCCATGTCCCAGTCCGGCTCTCCTGACGGTCCCGACGGCGCCATCGTCAAGGCAGGACAATACTCGTAAGTCATTCAATCTCTGTAATAGATCGGCATTAGAATCCAATTTTCATCGAAATAGTTTTTCACCAGTCATTGTACATGCTCGAATGTAATGATTAGGTTTCCTAAAGACTCTCGTTTTAGATCATATGAAAGCATCATGTGATTCTGTATCAGAACTTATATACTACTATAAATGTTCTAGTTATACTGCACCTGATGGCTCTCTGATCGAGATCAAGTTTGTGGCCAACGAGAACGGATTCCAGCCTCAGGGCGCCCATCTGCCAGTTGCCCCCGAGTTCCCACACCCTATTCCCTCAGTTCGTCCTGGACCAGATCGCCTTCGCCGCCGAGGAAGACGCCGCCCGTGAACGTGCTGAGGCTCAGGCTTCCGCCCCCGCCCCCACCAGGCTGTACGGCCAGCCTCAGTAGACCGATGGCTGAAATCTGTGATATTTATTATATTTATGATATTCATAAACGACGCTATGCTGAAACGAATAAAAGTATTTTGATCAGTTCCCGTTTTACTTTGGTACTTCCTTCTGTTACTGAGATAGTCCATAGATTTCCCTCACATGTTCGTATACTTATGCGATACATAATGAACATTTATACACTCGCTATACATATACACGTGTGTATATGAATACATATATGTCTATATATATACATAGACATATATGTATATGTACATATACACATTTAACTATCACCTGTCACCTGCTTTTTCGCTTACTGCCGTTCAAAAAATATTCGCTAAGAGAAAGTTTGACATGCTAAGTCTACATTTTATACGTTTATCACATCGTTCTTAATGTCAACTGAGTTTCTGTTCGAATTACATATACTTTACATTTTTGCTTCTACATTTTTTTTCATTTTAATGAAATGTATCATATATGACTGATTTTATTCTAGAAATATATTCTAATCATTAGCTTACTGCAGTAAAGAGAAAAAAAACGTATAATTGATTTTTTACCGACGTCCATAATGAGATGAGGACATCTATTTATCATCCTTTTTATTTCTTCTCGTATTTGATATCCTATGCGATGAAAGGACCTGCAATTCTTAAATATAGGACTTCATATCAATGCTTTTTTATCTAAACTTTTAAATCAGTTTGAATATTAAGTATGTTATGTATATAATCGTGAAGTAATAGAAATGAGAATCATAAATGCAGCCTTGGTTCGAAAAACTGATTTTCTACTCACATAGTTATTAGAATATATATATATTTTTTCTATATTTCTATTTTCATGGAAAACTGAACCTATCATTAACATGTAAGTACTTAATGTAAACATTTTTTTTGCATCTTAAACCTTGGCATATCTCAATAAGTCCACTTGAAAAGGCATCAGCTTGTAAGTTGGAATTCCATTTCTCAAAGTTTCATGTTTTACCTGTCAATCCTTTTATTTATAGTTACGAATTATTCACTGCGAATCATGTCATCATTACACACCCATATATATTGGCAGACAGACATAAAGATAGATATTCATAATTAATAATAATAATTCTGGGGTAAGTCTGACCGGCTATTGTGACTTCAGTAAAATTATATTTTTTACTATGCTTCTAAAGGACCCACAAGCTAACATTCCTTGACGGCACGGGAATTAAACACAGGTCAGCAAGATTGCACGACAAGGGCGATATCACTGCACACGTGTGTGTATAGAGATATAAACACACATATACACTGTATATACATACAAACATGTATATACAGTGTATATTAAACACAGTATATACATGCTATGCTGAAACGAATAAAAATATTTTGATCAGTTCCTGTTTCACGTTGGTATTTCTTTCTGTTACCGAGGTACTCCATTAATTTCCCTCACGTTCGCCGCCGAGGAAGACGCCGCCCGTGAACGTGCTGAGGCTCAGGCTTCCGCCCCCGCCCCCACCAGGCTGTACGGCCAACCTCAGTAGACCGATGGCTGAAATCTGTGATATTTATAATATTTATGATATTCATTAAACGACGCTATGCTGAAACGAATAAAAGTATTTTGATCAGTTCCTGTTTTACGTTGGTATTTCCTTCTGTTACCGAGGTACTCAATTAATTTCCCTCACGTTCGTATACCTATGCGAGACATAATGATTATAGATGGACAGTTATACACTCGCTACACACAGACACACACGTGAGTATATATATCTAAATATATATATAAAAGTCACCTATCACCTGATTCATTGCTTAATGCCGTTCAGAACATATTTTCTATGCAAGGGCACAAAATTTTATTTTCGCCAATAGAAAGTTTGACATGCTATATCTCTATTTCATATTTTTATCATATTGGTCTTGGAGTCAAGTACGTTTCTGCTTTAATTATATTTTCTTATATTTTTTCTTCTACATTTGGAAATTTTCTACATTTATGTGAAGTGTATGTATCACATGATTGATTCTATCCTAGAAATATATTCTAATCATTAGATGACTGCAGTAGAGAGAAAAAATAAAATAAATTAGCATAATTGATGGTCTGCTGACGCCCATGAACAGATGACCATGGATCATGTTTTATATTTTATCTCCAGTTTAATATCCTATATGATGAAAGAAACTGCATATTATAAACATAAATACTATATCAATGTTTCTTTATCTAAACATATACATCTCTTTGAATTTTAAGTATATTACGTATATGATAATAATAAAGTAATGGGAATGAGAATCATTAATGCATCCTTGCTAAATTATCTACCTATATGGCTATTAGAATATTTTGTTTTCTATATTTCAGTAACTATTTTTATCATGGAAAACTGAACCTGTAAGTACTGAATGTAAATATTTTTGCAGCTTAAACCTTGGCATAGCTCAATAAATCCACTTGAAAACGTTTAAGCTAGTGAGTTGGCATTTTATTTCTCAAAGTTTCAAGTTTTACCTATTCCCCTGTCTATTGTTTTGTTTTATTCACAGGTAAGAATTATTTTCTGCGAACCTTGCCATCCTTAGACATCCATACATATTGATAGAGATAGATAAATAGATAAATATGTATATAAATATTTAATGATAAAATAATCTTGGGTTTGGTGTGACAGGCTGTTGTGTCTCCGGTCAAATTATGGCTGTCTGTTTATTGTGATTCTTAACTACCCCCCTGTGTGCAAGGAATGTCCGAGTCTGCTATCCACTGGCAGTGCGAGAATTGAACGCAGGTCAGCAATATTGCTAGACGAGAACGCTATCACTACACCACACACAGCATGTGTGTGTGTTTAGAGATGTAAACACATATATAGCGTATATAGATATAACTGTGTACATATATACAAATGATAAAGAGTGTATGTGTGTACGTACACAGATAATGATATACATATGTATACACACACATATAGGTACAAAGACGATTTATATGTATATGTATATATATATATTTACATATATATATCACATATATATAGATATATGCATAAACACAAAGAATAATTTGCATGCATATATACATAAAACTATATGTTTATATGCCCAATTAGGCAGTGATATATATACTTCTATATATATGAATATGTGTATGTATATACATATACAGATGAAAATAATAATAGTAATAATTACATATACATGTGCATATATACATACATGTGCCCAGAGATATGCATACACACACAAATGTATATATGTGTTTTTAAAAGTGTGTGAGTGGGGTGATTGTGAATATATATATGTATATGTATGGATGTATATGTTTACATAAATATTCATATGTGTGCATATATACAGGCACATTCCTATCAAATGCTAGTTTTATTTGAAAGATGGTATAAGAGTAGTTAGATTTCAAGGTCACACTCACCCGTACACAAACCGACGAATGGCCACGCGGGATAAAGGTCACACAAGGACTATATAAACTCTCGGCCACATGACTCGGAGCATCAGTCGCAAACTAAACTACCAACATGAATGTCGTGGGTGTCTAGCGCTTTTACTTTTTTTCATTTCTTTGCATTAACCAAGAGTTTCCATTGATTTACATTTGTGATCAGGACATGGTCGTGTTTGAGATCTACAACACTGAACTGACACATGCATACGAAACCAATATATCGATACAGTTCCATATATATTCTACATGTAATACATGTAATATAATGCCAATACCTAATTTTCTATTAATGCAAAACTCTCCTTGTTTATAGTCGTCTTATTGCATGCATGAAGTTCAGCTATTTATCTTCGGTTTCAGGTGATCCTCGCCTGCATGGCCGCCGTGGCCGTCGCCGCCCCCCAGTATGCCTACCAGACCCCTGCCCCGACCTACCTCGTCCCCGCCGCCTCCAGCCGAGATGAGTCCGCTGAGGTGATCGAGTTCATTCCTATCCTGAGGGACGATCGCGTCCACGAGGACGACGGAAGGTACAACCTGGATGTGGAGACTGCTAACGGAATCTCCATGTCCCAGTCCGGCTCTCCTGACGGTCCCGACGGCGCCATCGTCAAGGCAGGACAATACTCGTAAGTCATTCAATCTCTGTAATAGATCGGCATTAGAATCCAATTTTCATCGAAAAAATAGTTTTTCACCAGTCATTGTACATGCTCGAATGTAATGATTAGGTCTCCTAAAGACTCTCGTTTTAGATCATATGAAAGCATCATGTGATTCTGTATCAGAACTTATATACTACTATAAATGTTCTAGTTATACTGCACCTGATGGCTCTCTGATCGAGATCAAGTTTGTGGCCAACGAGAACGGATTCCAGCCTCAGGGCGCCCATCTGCCAGTTGCCCCCGAGTTCCCACACCCTATTCCTCAGTTCGTCCTGGACCAGATCGCCTTCGCCGCCGAGGAAGACGCCGCCCGTGAACGTGCTGAGGCTCAGGCTTCCGCCCCCGCCCCCACCAGGCTGTACGGCCAGCCTCAGTAGACCGATGGCTGAAATCTGTGATATTTATTATATTTATGATATTCATAAACGACGCTATGCTGAAACGAATAAAAGTATTTTGATCAGTTCCCGTTTTACTTTGGTACTTCCTTCTGTTACTGAGATAGTCCATAGATTTCCCTCACGTTCGTATACTTATGCGATACATAATGAACATTTATACACTCGCTATACATATACACGTGTGTATATGAATACATATATGTCTATATATATACATAGACATATATGTATATGTACATATACACATTTAACTATCACCTGTCACCTGCTTTTTCGCTTACTGCCGTTCAAAAAATATTTTCTACACAGGGAAACAAAATTTTCCTCTTCGCTAAGAGAAAGTTTGACATGCTAAGTCTACATTTTATACGTTTATCACATCGTTCTTAGAGTCAACTGAGTTTCTGTTCGAATGATATATTCTTTACATTTTTGCTTCTACATTTTTTTTTTTTCATTTTAATGAAATGTATCATATATGACTGATTTTATTCTAGAAATATATTCTAATCATTAGCTTACTGCAGTTCCCCCACCCTATCCCTCAGTTCGTCCTAGACCAGATCGCCTTCGCCGCCGAGGAAGACGCCGCCCGTGAACGTGCTGAGGCTCAGGCTTCCGCCCCCGCGCCCACCAGGCTGTACGGCCAGCCTCAATAGACCGATGACTGATATATGTGATATAATATTTATGAATTTGATAAAACGACGCTATGTTGAAATGAATAAAAGAATTTGGATAATTTCCTGTTTCTCTTTGGCACTTCTGTTATCGAGGTACTCAAACATTTCATTCACGTTTGTATACCTAATGCGATACATAATGAATATAGATTAAACACTTAAACAGAGATATGCACTCGCTACAAAAACATCTCCCAAAATGATTTACTACTTACTACCGTTCAAAAGGTATTTCCTATGAAGGAAAAAAAAACGTTAATAGAAACTTCCACGTGTCATGTTCATTTATCATGCTTTTATCTCATTGCCAGTGAGGCAAGTTTCAGTTTAAATTATATTTCATATTTTTGCCTAAGGTTTAGAAATTATTTCAATTTAGAAATTTATTTTAATTAGTTGAATGCAATGAAGAAAAAAGTATTTACATAACTGATGGTCTATTGACGTCCATGAATAGATAAAGACCGTGGATCATGCTTTTTATTTCACCTCGTTTGATATTCTATATGGTATAAGGAACTACAGATTTTAGATGTAGGGCTTTATTTCAACTTCTATTTACCAAACTTATAAATCTGGACTTTAAGCATGTTATGTAAATAATTGTAAATAATGGAAATGAGAAACATAATTGCAGCCTTGGCTCGAAAAACTGATAGACAGAGATAGATATGTATATGGATATACTTAATGATAATTTAGGGTTTGGTGTGACAGGGTCTCGTGATTTCAGTCAAAATATAGTTGTCTGTTTGTGATTCTATACTACCCCTCTGTATGCAAGGAATGACCTAGGCTACCATCCACTGGCGGCGCGAGAATTGAACGCAGAAGAGAAGAGAAAGCTATTACTGCACCACACAGCACATGTGTGTGAATAGAGACACTCATGTATATTCTGTATATACATACAAACATACAACTGTATGTATATATATGCATACATCTAAGAGCGGGTGCATGTGTATGCATACGCACACAGTAATATACATATGAACACATATATAAGTACAAAGACGATATATATACATATATATGTACATATATATATCAAGTATATATATGCATATTTATGTATATACACATAAAAAATGATATGCGTGCATATATATATTTATATGTCTACATATAGCCTATATATGGTTATACACACATATAATTTTATATATAAGTAATTTATACATATATAATTTATATATATACAGAAAAACATACAATGATATATATATGTATATATGGTAGAAAAACTTGATTTATATTTTTTTACATTGTGGGTTTTTATACCATAGTATCAACACGGTAGTGTTTTCATCATTCATATGTATATATATATATACAGGTGCATATATAAATATATGTAATAATGACAATTATAAATATATATATAAACATACATTTGCACACAGTGATATACATACATACATCTATATATTGATATGTTTGTTTATATATATAAATATATACGTGTGTGTGTGTGGGGTGGGGTGAGGGGTGTTTGTGTATATATGCACATATATGTATCGATACATTTGTATATAAATATATTCATACATATGCATATATATACACATTCCTATCTATCACATACTAGCTTTAATTGAGAGATTAGTATTCGAGTAGTTTGGTTTCAAGGTCAGACACAAATCGACGAATGGGCACGCGGGATAAAGGTCACACAAGGACTATATAAACTCTCGGCCACATGTCTGGAGCATCAGTCGCAAACTAAACTACCAACATGAAAGCCGTGGGTGTCTCATTCTTGAATTATTTTTATTTATTTATTTATTTTTAATTAGTCAAGATTTCTTCATTGCTTCATATTTGTAATCAGGACAACGCTCGCATCTGACATCTACAAAACTAAATTGACATATTCATATGAAACCAACGTATCGATACAGTTCCATATATATTCCATGAAGAGAGATGCCGTTTTCCTTCACAGAAATATTTGTAATAGCATGCTAATATCTAATTTTCTGTGAATGCAAAAGTTCTCTTGTTTATAGTCGTATATTCACATCCATGAGGTTCAACTATTTTTCCTGGGTTTCAGGTGATCCTCGCCTGCATGGCCGCCGTGGCCGTCGCCGCCCCCCAGTATGCCTACCAGACCCCTGCCCCAACCTACCTCGTCCCCGCCGCTTCCAGTCGCGATGAGTCTGCTGAGGTGATCGAGTTCGTTCCTATCCTGAGGGACGATCGCGTCCACGAGGACGACGGAAGGTACAACCTGGACGTAGAAACTGCCAACGGAATCTCCATGTCCCAGTCCGGCTCTCCTGACGGTCCCGACGGCGCCATCGTCAAGGCAGGCCAATACTCGTAAGTAATTGAATCTCTGTAATAGATCGACACATTTGACTTATTCTTTATTATTATATTTTTAACAACTGAGTAAACGCTAGAATGGAATGTGTGATTCTCGCTTAAGAACACATTCAAAAAAGTATCACGTGATACTGTATCAGAACTCATACCTGCATAAGTATGCCAGTTGCTATATCTTTCCTGCTATGTTCCAGTTACACCGCACCTGACGGCTCTCTGATCGAGATCAAGTTCGTGGCCAACGAGAACGGATTCCAGCCTCAGGGCGCCCACCTTCCAGTTGCCCCCGAGTTCCCCCACCCTATCCCTCAGTTCGTCCTGGACCAGATCGCCTTCGCCGCCGAGGAAGACGCCGCCCGTGAACGTGCTGAGGCTCAGGCTTCCGCTCCCGCGCCCACCAGGCTGTACGGCCAGCCTCAATAGACCAATGACTGATATATGTGATATTTATATTTATGAATTTGATAAAACGACGCTATGTTGAAACGAATAAAAGAATTTGGATAATTTCCTGTTTCTCTTTGGCACTTCTGTTATTGAGGTACTCAAACATTTCATTCACGTTTGTATACCTAATGCGATACATAATGAATATAGATTAAATCTTAAACAGAGATATACACTCGCTATAAAAGCACCTCCCAAATGATTTACTACTTACTACCGTTCAAAAGGTATTTCCCACGAAGGGAAAAAAACGTTATTAGAAACTTCCACGTGTCATGTTCATTTATCATGCTTTTATCTCATTGCCAGTGAGGCAAGTTTCAGTTTAAATTGTATTTCATATGTTTGCCTAAGGTTTAGAAATTATTTCATTTTAGGAATTTATTCTAATTAATTGAATGAAATGAAGAAAAAAGTATTTACATAACTGATGGTCTACTGATGTCCATGAATAGATAAAGACCGTGGATCATGCTTTTTATTTCACCTCGTTTGATATTCTACATGGTATAAGGAACTACAAATTTTAGATGTAGGGCTTTATTTCAACTTTTATTTACCAAACTTATAAATCTGGACTTTAAGCATGTTATGTAAATAATTGTAAATAATGGAAATAAGAAACATAATTGCAGCCTTGGCTCGAAAAACTGATAGACAGAGATAGATATGCATATGGATATACTTAATGGTGTTACAGGGTCTCGTGACTTCAGTCATATGTTTGTTTGTGATTCTAAACTACCCCTCTGTATGCAAGGAATGGCCTAGGCTACCATCCACTGGCGGCGCGAGAATTAAACGTAGAAGAAAAGAGAAAGCTATTACTGCACCACACAGCACATGTGTGTGAATAGAGACACTCATATATATTCTGTATATACATACAAACATACAACTGTATGTATATGTATGCATACATCTAAGAGCGGGTGCATGTGTATGCATACGCACACAGTAATATACATATGAACATACATATATAAATACAAAGACGATATATATACATATATATGTACATATATATATCAAGTATATGTATACATATTTATGTATATACACATAAAAAATGATATGCGTGCATATATATATTTATATGTCTACATATAGCCTATATATGATTATACACACATATAATTTTATATATAAGTAATTCATACATATATAATTTATATATATACAGAAAAACATACAATGATATATATATATATGTATATATGTTAGAAAAAAAACACAATGTAAAAACTTGATTTATATTTTTTTACATTGTGGGTTTTTATACCATACTATCAACACGGTAGTGTTTTCATCATTCATATGTATATATATATATACAGGTGCATATATAAATGTATGTAATAATGGCAATTATAAATATATATATAAACATACATTTGCACACAGTGATATACATACATACATCTATATATTGATATGTTTGTTTATATATATAAACATATACGTGTATGTATCGATACATTTGTATATAAATATATTCATAGATATGCATATATATATACACATTCCTATCTATCACATACTAGCTTTAATTGAGAGATTAGTATTAGAGTAGTTTGGTTGCAAGGTAAGACACAAATCGACGAATGGGCACGCGGGATAAAGGTCACACAAGGACTATATAAACTCTCGGCCACATGTCTGGAGCATCAGTCGCAAACTGAACTACCAACATGAAAGCCGTGGGTGTCTCATTCTTAAATTATTTTTATTTATTTATTTATTTTTAATTAGTCAAGATTTTTTAATTGCTTCATATTTGTAATCAGGACAACGCTCGCACCTGACATCTACAAAACTAAATTGACATATTCATATGAAACCAACGTATCGATACAGTTCCATATATATTCCATGAAGAGAGATGCCGTTTTCCTTCACAAAAATATATGTAATAGCATGCTAATATCTAATTTTATGTGAATGCAAAAGTCCTCTTGTTTATAGTCGTATATTCACATCCATGAAGTTCAACTATTTATCCTGGGTTTCAGGTGATCCTCGCCTGCATGGCCGCCGTGGCCGTCGCCGCCCCTCAGTATGCCTACGAGACCCCTGCCCCGACCTACCTCGTCCCCGCCGCCTCTAGTCGCGATGAGTCCGCTGAGGTGATCGAATTCATTCCTATCCTGAGGGACGATCGCGTCCACGAGGACGACGGAAGGTACAACCTGGACGTGGAGACTGCCAACGGAATCTCCATGTCCCAGTCCGGCTCTCCTGACGGTCCCGACGGCGCCATCGTCAAGGCAGGCCAATACTCGTAAGTAATTGAATCTCTGTAATAGATCGACACATTTGACTTATTCTTTATTATTATATTTTTAACAACTGAGTAAACGCTAGAATGAAATGTGCGATTCTCGCTTAAGAACACATTAAAAAAGTATCACGTGATACTGTATCAGAACTCATACCTGCATAAGCATGCCAGTTGCTATATCTTTTCTGCTATGTTCCAGTTACACCGCACCTGACGGTTCTCTGATCGAGATCAAGTTCGTGGCCAACGAAAACGGGTTCCAGCCCCAGGGCGCCCATCTGCCAGTTGCTCCCGAGTTCCCCCACCCTATCCCTCAGTTCGTCCTGGACCAGATCGCCTTCGCCGCCGAGGAAGACGCCGCCCGTGAACGTGCTGAGGCTCAGGCTTCCGCCCCCGCGCCCACCAGGCTGTACGGCCAGCCTCAATAGATCGATGGCTGAAATCTGTGATATTTATGATATTTATTATATTAATTAAACGACGCTATGCTGAAACGAATAAAAGTATTTGAATCATTTCCTGTTTGTCTTTGGCACTTCCTTCTGTTACTGCGGTACTCCATGCATTCCTTCACATTCGTATACCTATGCGATGCATAGTGAATATAGATGGGCACCTAAACAGATATACGCTCGCTACACATACATATATACAAATCTACTCATCTATATCTATTTATATGCATATATATACATAGACAGATATATATACACATTTAAATATATACTTAGAAAGGTCACCTCTCACCAGATTTACTGTTTATAAATGTTCCAAAAGTATTTTCTATGCAAGGAAACAAAACTTTCTTTTTCGTCAATAGAAAGTTCAACTGCCATGTCTATATTTCTTACTTTTATCTCATTGCTATTAGAGTCAAGTAAGTTTCCGCTTGAATTATATCTTATTCTACCTTTCGAAATGTGTATTTCAGTGAGATGTGCGTGTCACATATGACTAATTTTATTCTGGAAATGTAGTCTAATCATTTGCTGACTGCAGTAAAGAAGAAAAAAGATTGGATGAGGACCATGGATCATGTTTTTTCTTCATTTCGTGTTTAATATTCTCTGGATGACAGGAATTGCAGTTCATAAATATAGAACTTTATATGAATATTCATCTATCTAAACTCATTTTAAGTATATCATGTATACAATCACGAATCAAAAATGAAGCCTTGGTTCGAAAAACTGAGTGATCTACCTACATGGTTATCAGATTTTTTTTTTTTTTTTTTACTTTCACTAACTGCTATTATCATGGAAAACTGAACCTATCATCAACCTAACCACCCCGGATTTACGTTCTGTTCCCTGTATTTTTTGTGAGTGTTGTTACATACAGATGGCTCCACATGTTTTCAACCAGCAAGGAGTCTATCAGTAGGAACTAGTACCGATCCTGATTTCCTTTTTTTTTTTACTTTCACTAACTGCTATTATCATGGAAAACTGAACCTATCATCAACCTAACCACCCCGGATTTACGTTCTGTTCCCTGTATTTTTTGTGAGTGTTGTTACATACAGATGGCTCCACATGTGTTCAACCAGCAAGGAGTCTATCAGTAGGAACTAGTAACCGATCCTGATTTCCACATTCCTTGAATTGCGGGAAAATGTGTTTTTAAATACAATTTAGATCAATCCTGTAATTGTTTTTATTGATGTTATGATTATCAAATTGTTCATAAAGTCTTGGTAACACTTAATACAATTAATTAATACAAAAGAACATTTCCAAAAGTCAAGAGAAAGGGTAAACATGTGAGATAGGATAAATAAATTCCTCCTTGGTAATTAAGAAATTGTAGAGCTATCTATGTGCTAATACAATAAATTTATATTACAGTGGCCATGGTATGTATTCTTACCATACGTGCCGATTGGACTAACCTGTATGTATTAATATAAATATTTTTTGCATCTTAACCTTGATATATCTCAATAAATCCACTTGAAAATGTATCAGCTAGTGAGTTGACATTCCATTTCTCAAAGTTGAAGTTTTACCTATTTCCCTGTTTATTTTATTAATAGGTAAAATCAATCTACTGTGAATCTTGCCGTCATTATACACCCATGCATACTGATAGAATGACAGACAGAGATAGAGATAGTTATATAGATAAATTCATGTATATTTATAGAGACATACTTAAAAATAATTTTAGGTTTTTGGTGTGATAGCCTCTTGTGACCAATCGAATTATGACTCCTGTGCTTCTATACTACCCACTGAGTGCAAGGAGTGGCCGAAGCTACCGAGAATTAAACGCAGGACAGCAAGATTGCAAGAAGAGAATGCTATCACTGCACCACACAGCACATACATATATGTATATAGATACAAAAACACTTATATATGTATACTGTATATACATACAAACATACATCAGTGTGTATATATACATTTATGTGTGTATATACACAATGATATTCATATACACACACACGTATAGGTACAAAGGCGATATATACGTATATGTAGACATATTTACATATATATATATATAAAGTATTTATACATATATAGATATTTACATATGATATACATGCATACATATAATACATATATATAAGTATATTTTTATATACAATCACAAACACATACAAGCAGTGATATATATGTATGTATATATATACATGTGTATATATATTCTGTATATAATAAGTATATATATGTATTTTTACACATATATCATATAAGTGATATACATACACATATATTTACATATTAATATACACACATGTGCGCATATATATCTATACACACAATCCTATCTAGGACATACTAGCATTATCTGAAAGACTGGTATTAGAGTAGTTTGGTTTCAAGGTCGCACTCACCCGTCCACAAATCAACGAATGGGCACGCGGGATAAAGGTCATTCAAGGACTATATAAACTCTCAGCCACATAACTCGCAGCATCAGTCGCAAACTAAACTACCAACATGAAAGTCGTGGGTGTCTCTTCATATTATTCTTACATACGCTAAGATTTTCTATTGCTTCATATTTGTGATCAGGACAATACTCGAATTTGACACAACACAATACTGCCTTTTCTCGTTCACTGAAATATACTTAATAATATATCAGCTTCTAATTTCTTATGAATGCTAGTCTCCTTGGTACACATTCATATACTGTTTTTATTAATATTTGTATGATTTATGTATTTAAACACTGAATATCCATAAAACAAAATCCAAAATGTCTTTGGTTTCAGGTGATCCTCGCCTGCATGGCCGCCGTGGCCGTTGCCGCCCCCGAGTACGCCTACAAGACCCCTGCCCCGACCTACCTCGTCCCCGCCGCCTCCAGCCGCGATGAGTCCGCTGAGGTGATCGAGTTCATTCCTATCCTGAGGGACGATCGCGTCCACGAGGACGACGGAAGGTACAACCTGGACGTGGAAACTGCCAACGGAATCTCCATGTCCCAGTCCGGCTCTCCTGACGGTCCCGACGGCGCCATCGTCAAGGCAGGACAATACTCGTAAGTAATTCAACCTCTGTAAAAGATAGACACATTTGATTTGAATTCTATATATTTTTGTATTAATTTGTTATTTTTATTTATCTATTTATTTATATATATTTTTTACCAGGCAAGTAAATGCTAGAATGTAATGATTAGGTACTCTCTCTAGATCATATTCAAGTATCACGTGATTCAGGACTCATACCCATATAAATATGTCAATTGCTATGTCATTCTTACTGCTATAAATGCTCTAGTTACACCGCACCTGATGGTTCTCTGATCGAGATCAAGTTCGTGGCCAACGAGAACGGATTCCAGCCTCAGGGTGCCCATCTACCAGTTGCTCCCGAGTTCCCCCACCCTATCCCTCAGTTCGTCCTGGACCAGATCGCCTTCGCCGCCGAGGAAGACGCCGCCCGTGAACGTGCAGAGGCTCAGGCTTCCGCCCCCGTGCCCACCAGGCTGTACGGCCAGCCTCAATAGACCGATGGCTGATATCTGTGATATTTATAATATTTATGATGTTGATAAAACGACGCTAAAACGAATAAAAGTATTTGGATCATTTCCAGTTTCTCTTTGACACTTTCTTCTGCTATCGAGGTACTCCATACATTTTATTTACGTTTGTATACCTATGCGATACATGAGGCCTTTTTTGCATCATTTTCAAACCCCCTTGCTCTTTAATACATGCAGGTACATATTATCCTTTACGCATGCATTATTGGAGACTGTTGAAACATTTTTTTCATTTTGTATCAAAGCGTTTGCCTTCAACTTGAAACGGTTTGATACACTCAGGCCAGACAATCAGAGCGCGTTATTTTTCAGATATATTTCACATAGTCTCAGATAGGGATTTATGATTTCATTGATTACGAATCGCATCGTAAGTTTCTTGACATAACTTTTTATTGTAAAGGTGCATAAAATGTTTCTGTGCCTTTTAACCAGTACATCAAATACATGTTCATTCTATATGGGTGAGATTTGAAGTCAGTCATGTCGGCCGCTGGAACGACATGCTAAGTCATATAACGTGGTATTGACTTCGGTGGTATGAATGTCATCAAAATCATTTTGTACGTCTATGGTATAACCGTACAAACTCAAAAATATCAAAGAAAATACTGTGTATCTTGATTTATGGATGTACTTCATTCAGCAAATCAAGTAAAAATCCGTGATTATTGGAATTACCCAGTTGTTTGAGTTAGACACGGAATTCACTCGCGGTGGATGCGATGAGATCCATAACTTTATGCAACGTTCATTTTTCATATGAATAACAATAAACGTAATGAAAAAAATATATTTTGACTGAATCTGAGAACTACATTTAAACTTTTTACAGCCTTGCGAAGCGAGGAAAGGTGTGTATAAATTATAAAAGGTGCTCAGTTGTCAGATACTTTTTCCATTTTATTTTTTGCTTGTAATTAAAAATCATACCAGCATATTAAGTACTTATATGGTTTTCTATTGACTTTTTTTCATATGAAATAAAATAAAAAATAACTGCGCATGTCAGTAGCGACCTTGATGCAACTTCAATGTATCAATGTGTTGGGGCTTCGGGATGCTACAAATAGGCCTATAATGAACGTAGATTGACACTTAAATAGAGATATGTACTCGCTACGCACACACGCACAGACATATAACAATTATCTCTTTATATTCATAAATATACATAAACACGCACACACAGATATATATATATATATACATATATATATATATATAAATACACACATATACATATATAGCTGTAATAGCCACCACTCACATGATTTACTGCTCACTGCCGTTCAAAAAGGTATTTTCTATGCAAGGAAAAAAAATGTTTTCCGTAAATAGAAAGTTTGACATGCCATGTCTATATTTCATACTTTGATCACATTGCTACCAAAGTCAAGTAAGTTTCTGTGTGAATTATATTTCATGTTTTCTACGATTGCAAATCATTGTGCATTTCACTGAAATGCACATATCACATATGACTGATTTTATTTAAAAAATATATATATTCTAATTTGCTGACTACAAAGAAGAAAAAAGTATTTACACAACTGATAGTCTACTGACATCCATAAATTAATGAGGACCATTGATCATGCTTTTTATTTCATCTCGTGTTTAATATTCTATATGATGTAAGAAACTGCAGTTCTTAAATGTAGGACTTTATGCCAAAGTTATTTATCAAACGTATAATCCTGCAAATATATATAAATAGTTATATATAATTATACACACACATATTTTATTTATATATAAGTACACATACTGATATATGTATATATACATGTATATGTATATATACATACATTCACACAGAGATATACATATACATACATATATATTTACATATCTATGTTTATAAATATGTAAATATCTATAAACATATAGATATATGTGTATGTATGTATGGATACATATATGTATATAAATATATATCTAAATAAACACATTCCTATCTATTATACACTAGTTTAATTGAAAGGTTGGTATTAGAACAGTTAGGTTTCAAGGGCACACCCACCCGTACACAAACCGACGAATGGTCACGCGGGATAAAGGTCACACAAGGACTATATAAACTATCAGCCACATGACTCGGCGTATCAGTCACAAACTAAACTACCAACATGAAAGTCGTGGGTGTTACATTCTTTTTATCATTTTTATTATTATATTAGCCAGTATTTTCCAATGCTTCATATTTGTGATCAGGACAATACTCGCTTTTGACGTCTACGACATTAAACGGACATAATCATATAAAACCAATATATCGAAACAGTTCCATATATATTTTATGAAGAGAGATGCCGTTTGCCTTCATAGAAATATGTGTAATAGTAAACTGATATCTAATTTTCTATGAACGCAAAAGTCCTCTTATTTACAGTCGTATTTTCCCATCCACGAAGTTCAACTATTTATCCTGGGTTTCAGGTGATCCTCGCCTGCGTGGCCGCTGTGGCCGTCGCCGCCCCTCAGTATGCCTACCAGACCCCTGCCCCGACCTATCTCGTCCCCGCCGCTTCCAGCCACGATGAGTCCGCTGAGGTGATCGAGTTTATTCCTATCCTGAGGGACGATCGCGTCCACGAGGACGACGGAAGGTACAACCTGGACGTAGAAACTGCCAACGGCATCTCCATGTCCCAGTCCGGCTCTCCTGACGGTCCCGACGGCGCCATCGTCAAGGCAGGCCAGTACTCGTAAGTAACTCTTCCGTAAAATATCGACACATTTGATTTCAAATTTTATTGGAAAAATAATTTTGTTATTATTATTTCTTGCCAGTCGTGCAAATACTAGCATGTAAGGATTAGGCCTTTAAAAGACTCGCTTTAGCTCATATTCGTAGAAGTATCACGTGATTCTGTATCAGAACTCGTACACGTCAGTTGATATATCATTCTTACTGCTATAAATGTTCCAGTTACACCGCACCTGACGGTTCTCTGATCGAGATCAAGTTCGTGGCCAACGAGAACGGATTCCAGCCTCAGGGCGCCCACCTTCCAGTTGCCCCCGAGTTCCCCCACCCTATCCCTCAGTTCGTCCTGGACCAGATCGCCTTCGCCGCCGAGGGGATACATATATGTATATAAATATATATCTAAATAAACACATTCCTATCTATTATACACTAGTTTAATTGAAAGGTTGGTATTAGAACAGTTAGGTTTCAAGGGCACACCCACCCGTACACAAACCGACGAATGGTCACGCGGGATAAAGGTCACACAAGGACTATATAAATTATCAGCCACATGACTCGGAGCATCAGTCACAAACTAAACTACCAACATGAAAGTCGTGGGTGTTACATTCTTTTTATCATTTTTATTATTATATTAGCCAGTATTTTCCATTGCTTCATATTTGTGATCAGGACAATACTGCTTTTGACGTCTACAACATTAAACGGACATAATCATATAAAACCAATATATCGAAACAGTTCCATATATATTTTATGGAGAGAGATGCCGTTTACCTTCATAGAAATATGTGTAATAGTAAACTGATATCTATTTTTTTATGAACGCAAAAGTCCTCTTATTTACAGTCGTATTTTCCCATCCACGAAGCTCAACTATTTATCCTGGGTTTCAGGTGATCCTCGCCTGCGTGGCCGCTGTGGCCGTCGCCGCCCCTCAGTATGCCTACGAGACCCCTGCCCCGACCTATCTCGTCCCCGCCGCTTCCAGCCGCGATGAGTCCGCTGAGGTGATCGAGTTTATTCCTATCCTGAGGGACGATCGCGTCCACGAGGACGACGGAAGGTACAACCTGGACGTAGAAACTGCCAACGGCATCTCCATGTCCCAGTCCGGCTCTCCTGACGGTCCCGACGGCGCCATCGTCAAGGCAGGCCAGTACTCGTAAGTAACTCTTCCGTAAAATATCGACACATTTGATTTCAAATTTTATTGGAAAAATAAATTTTGTTATTATTATTTCTTGCCAGTCGTGCAAATACTAGCATGTAAGGATTAGGCCTTTAAAAGACTCGCTTTAGCTCATATTCGTAGAAGTATCACGTGATTCTGTATCAGAACTCGTACACGTCAGTTGATATATCATTCTTACTGCTATAAATGTTCCAGTTACACCGCACCTGACGGTTCTCTGATCGAGATCAAGTTCGTGGCCAACGAGAACGGATTCCAGCCTCAGGGCGCCCACCTTCCAGTTGCCCCCGAGTTCCCCCACCCTATCCCTCAGTTCGTCCTGGACCAGATCGCCTTCGCCGCCGAGGAAAACGCCGCCCGTGAACGTGCTGAGGCTCAGGCTTCCGCCCCCGCGCCCACCAGACTGTACGGCCAGCCTCAATAGACTTATGTCTGAAATCTGTGATATTTATGATATTTATGATATCAATTAAACGACGCTATGCTGAAACGAATAAAAGTATTTGAATCAGTTCCTGTTTCTCTTTGGCACTTTCTTCTGTTATTGATGTACTACATAGATTTCCCTTACGTTCGTATACTTATACGATACATAATGAACGTAGATATACACCTAAACTGAAATATGCACTCATTAAACATATGTGTATATATCTTTATTTATCTGTGTATACACATACACATTGACACACATAAATATATGTATATTAACAAATACATATATAGTTATAAAAGCCACCTGTCAAATGATTCACTGCTTCCTGCCGTTCAAAACATATTTTCTATGCAGGGATTTTATCTTTCGTCAGTAGAAAGTTTGACGTGTCATATCTATATTTCATACTTTTAAAACCTTTTGCTAAAATGAATAAAGATAATAAAAAAATAAATAAAAAAATAGAACACTTTATTTAATCACCGATTTACATTATTGTTACTCAGTATGCTGTACTTGATGACCTGTCACAAACACAAGAAGCTCAAATATGTAAAATTACGCATGTGTAATAAAAGGATTTAAAAAATTCCCATATATCTTGTAGCCTTCCCGATATAAAAAATGCGTTATTCTGTACAAATGTAAACTAAACATGACAACTCACATTGACATGGGTATATATATATACACAATGTTCTTTTTGTCCTTTATCCGGTATGGAAAAAATGACCATTTTTTCGACAATTAATGTTTCTGTATCTGTATTTCTGTTTATCTGTCTATACACAAATGCACACACACACTAACATAAGTACACACGCGAATACACATATACATATATGTACATGTATATATAAATGAAATGTATATGTATATGTGCGTGTGTGTGGTCATGAAACTGTGGGTGTATTTTCTTATTCCTTATCAAAAATTGACGTCTCGTGTCTACGTATCTCTGTGGATATTAAGATGTGTTCTTAATTCAATGCTGCAAGTACTTTACATTTCAGTGATGTATATGTTAATTACAGTGATTCAGATGACTGGGATTAAAATGCCTTTAAATTGAAGACAATCACCCCCACTCAATCTATCTACCTATATATATATTATATGTATATATATTTCTGTCTGGCCATTACCTATTCTTGCCAGACGAAATGGTCCTTATCCTTAGCTAGAAAGTAGTTCACAATGTTATATAATACAAATCATAACAAATCCTCAATATGTACCATATATTCATCAGATTTTTTTCTTTTTTCTTTATTCCCACAGTATTGTTTTTCGTGCATATCCTCCTCTGTATGACATGAGTGAAATATTACATTATATTCAGTTGTAAATCAACTTGTAAGCTTGTAATTCATTTTAGCATCTGATGCCCCAGTACTTGCTGCTTTTTTTGGTCTATCAACCAACCTACATATATTTTCACATAAGTGAACAGTTTCTGTATATTACGATATTCAAAACACATCTCCACCTCTTTCTCTCTCTTGGAATGTGTATATATATGTATATGTTATATATATATATATGTGTGTGTGTGTGAGTGTGTGTGTGTGCGTGCGTGTGTGTGTGTAAATATATGTTACATATTTCCACACTCATACAGAGAGTGAGAGAGAGATGTGCTATGATATCGACATACAGAACGTTTCTCATATATATGTATATATGTGTGTGTGTATAGGTAATATGACAGACTAAGAAATACACCAGATACTGAGATCCTGTAAAACATGATAATGATAATAATAGTAATAATTAAAACAAATAAAATAAATAAAAGTAAAAAAATAAAAACACGTATATAGACATACACGAACGTATATATATACATTTCATCGCGTAATTATGTGTTGAATTCATGTAGAACATATTGCTACCTGATGGAGCAATAAAGGAAAACGCCTTCGGCATATTTGTGTTTTCCTTTCCTTCCCTTCGCTGTTCTGCTTGCAATTTAAAACTATAGGGATGGAAAGTTTTCAAGGTTCTACCCATCCGCACACAGACCATTATATACATACATATATATATATATAATATATAAGATACATATATATGTCCACATTCATAGAAAGAGAGAGAGATGTGTTATGATATGTTTGTGTAAGGTGACAGACTAAGACATATACCAGATACTGTGAGATCATATTAGAAATAATGTGAGATCGTATTAAAAAAAGAAAGAAAAAAAAGAAAACTTACATATATCGGCATACACCAATACATGTGTATGTATGTATATGTATATATACATATATATCGCGTAACGTTTAAAACTAGAGGTTTAAGAGGTTTTCAAGGTCGCACCCATCCACACACAAACCGACGAATGGTCGCCCAGGGTAAAGGTCACTCAAGGACTATATAAGCTCTCGGCCGTCCAACTGGGTGCATCAGTCGCACGCCTAAAGTACCAGCATGAAATTCGTAGGTGTCTCATATTTATTTTGCTTCCATTGTCTTTCCTTTTGTGGCTGAAAGAATACTCGCTTGTTATTCATTAATTTCCTATTAATGACATGTGATATAATTAAAACATTCCAAATACTGAATCTTGCTATTATTTAATTCTTCTTTGCCTATGTAATTAGATTATCAAGCTTTATTTATCAAAAACCTTGAAGTATTGAATCTTGCTATTATAATTCACTCTTATTTTCATATATAAATGAATTATCAAATTTAATTTTTATTTGAAAGGTCTTCAATGTGTGAAGTTAAGCAATTTGTCGTTTTTAGGCGATCTTTGCCTGTGTGGCCGCCGTGGCCGTCGCCGCACCCCAGTACGCCTACGAGACCCCTGCCCCGACCTACCTCGTCCCCGCCGCCTCCAGCCGCGATCAGTCCGCTGAAGTGATCGAGTTCATTCCTATCCTGAGGGACGATCGCGTCCACGAGGACGACGGAAGGTACAACCTGGACGTAGAGACTGCCAACGGAATCTCCATGTCCCAATCAGGCTCTCCTGACGGTCCAGACGGCGCCATCGTCAAAGCAGGCCAATACTCGTAAGTATTGCCTCTATTCAATATCTAACTGATGTATTTGAGAAACCTTTATTTGAGTATATATTATTTGAACGTTTAAAAAGATTAAGTCCACGTACACTTAATAGTTGTCACTAATTTGCTACTTCTTTAACTATTCCAGTTACACCGCACCTGACGGTTCTCTGATCGAGATCAAGTTCGTGGCCAACGAGAACGGTTTCCAGCCCCAGGGCGCCCACCTACCTGTGGCTCCCGAGTTCCCCCACCCTATCCCTCAGTTCGTCCTGGACCAGATCGCCTTCGCCGCCGAGGAAGACGCCGCCCGTGAACGTGCTGAGGCTCAGGCTTCCGCCCCCGCGCCCACCAGGCTGTACGGCCAACCTCAGTAAATAGAATAATCGATCTGTGATATTTATAGTATTTATGACGTTGGATAAACCATGCTGCGGTGCAAACGAATAAGAATATTTTGAACTGGAAGTTATATTTTTCTTTGACCCTTTATATAATTCGTTCCTGATCTATTCTCTACAATTGTGTTATATTATTCGCTATATCTGACCTAATATCTATTCCTACGGATATATAAAAGAACTCATGAAACAGCAGAGATGCGCACGTTCATTCCATGTTACATTTAACTGACAGTGAAATGAATGATAAAAAATCTTTTGATACGTTTTGGAGCTTACATATCTTTACACTCACATTTACACACACACACACACACACATATACACAATTGTGCACAATTATGTACATTACACACAAAGTGGCCTACAAATGGGTGAAGTGGGTGTAGGAAATGATCCACTCCACAGTGCCATTTTCGTCGGCTGGGACGTACTACATGCTATTGAAAGGATAAAGAATTTATATATTAGAAATATTCCATTTTATTCTAATATGTCAATAAATAATAAACAGCATTTACAAAGATATTCTCACCAAAAGCATTATCTCTGTGGTTGATGTTCTCAGTGAACAGATCTCCAAATTAAGAAAGTTTGAAAATTGATATTTACCCTTGTTATTGAATTAAGATATTCGCTATTGGGAGAAAGCGTTATATGCACCTAATAAACACGAAATTTGCAGCCAAGCTTAATTTATACACACATACACACATATATGTGTGCAGTTGTCTTTTAGACTTAAACTTTGATAATTTTGAAAAAGTTAATCCTATTTCGATCTATGTTTCGTTATTTGTTGTAAATACAAATACACTAATATATCAAAGGCATGTCTACCTGTTTTAGTCCAGTAATTTTAGATCTCGACCCGGAACAAATTCGCACAAAAGCTTTCTCTTCAAAAATCTTTCAGAATGAACGTCTTGACAAACATGCTAAAAGTCCCCGAAAATTCAGGCACGGGATCATCCCGAAATTTAGGAAAACACGCATGAGGTGCCTCGTTACAGCATGAAAACGAGGCTGAAATTAAAAGTGCCTTTTTCTGACCTTTTACGATCACAACTCGGCCTCGACTACTCTTTGGTACCTAGTAGGGGGTTTGAATAGATGGGGGCTAGAAAATTTGTCAAATCACAATAAAGGGGGGGGGGGAGAATAAATGAGGGGTTGTAAAACTGAAACAAGTTCTTATCCTGGGAAAAACTTTCTTATACGTTTTGACAAGTTCTTTGGCTCGGACAAGTCACAAATAATCGTTGCTCCCAAGCTTTCATCAATCGCTGCCCAAATATTAATAGCCGTGGGGGGTCAGAATAAAAATGTCCTGGCTGAAAAGTTTGAAAAACTAATTAGCAAGAAGGACGTTTATTAAGCACCAAAGGGTACAAGTAAATCATTTTCAGATGTTTCAAATGTTAACAAGAAAAGATTTCATTGTCAAGGCATGTGGCTTCTTAGGCTTTTTTTTTTCTTGTGCACCAAATACCTTGGCCTGGTCTCGGAAATAGGCTTCCTTAAATTTCTTGACTGATGCAGCTTTGCCAATTCCAAATGGGCGAGATGTTGTGTCATAACCCAGCACTGCATGCAGTTAGCCTTTGGTTCTGGTCGGAAATACAGGTCGAATCCGCTGGCGTAGAGTTACTGGTGTATCAAACAGTGCAGCAGGGTAGCTACACAGTTCATGCTGAAAGATTATGTGCATTCCTGGAAGCTATCAGCAAGCGCTGGAACAAGAGTTGGGGATCAACATGCACTTTTTCTCCTTCAATCCTCACAGACGACCTTGTAGCAAGGGTCATAGATTGTTCCATCCGTTTGAATGAATGCTCGGCGACTGACTGACATCATTGAAGCCAATATATTTTCCCCTATTATTCAAGCTTGATCAACATTTACGGACTCCTCTGCATGAACTCCGGTCATTATGTTAATCAGAGCAGGCTCCTGCGTGAAGGGGTTATTGTCAGCGAGTGCGTTTAGGACAAGGACTGTTTCGTGCATGTCACGTTTCTGTCTAGAGCTCGTCATATCAATTTGTTTCTGCACAAGCAGACATTGACAATGGCCAGGTTAGACGCTGGCGCTCAGTCATGCCGCTGCCGCTTGTAAGACCACCGGTTGTCTTTAGACTTCGCATAAGTACCTGCTCGATCACAAGATCGGTAGACAGACCTGCCTACATCCGCGCACTTCTCCTCACAACATGATGTCCGGAGGCTAACTGATGGTAAACTCCAGGACAGTCATTTTTTTAGGTTCTTCATTGACTGGATGTACAAGTGAACTGACTTTGTGTATAAATTATGGCCAGAAGCCGCAAAATAGGGCAGCATTCTTCCTAATACTTGCAGATGCAACTCCTATTTCCCGAGACGTTCAGCTTTGATAAAGTCCCTAAATAGGTCTATAATTTCCATATATTGTAACTATAGTGCGGGCGTGCGGCTGACAGCTTTTATGGAGGTTTGTTGTCGTGATACAGAATCTCAGATGGTGTTGAGGACCTTTGAAGCGCTGACTTCCTCTGCAACTTTCTTGCTTTCCATAAGATTTTCGTAAAGACATTTGGCTTCAAGAACAATCTCTCTACCATCGTTATCTTCTGTATTCATGACATGTTAGTTCTTTCATTAGCTGTGGACGAAATATAAAAATGAACAACAATAAACACCCATTACTGCAGTAACATAATGTAATATATTTTGCGCAGCACCCACTGATGAAAACGCTCTTTTGTACTTTATTGTTGTTGTTATTTATTTATTTAAAGCAGCCGTATAAAAATAGCTACAGGATAAAAGCTAATGAACTGAACTACAGCTTCATGCATGAAATGCCTTTCACACACGTCAGATTTGATGGGTCGGGAAAAATTGGCGGGAAAAATTAAATTATTGCTTTTAGAACAAATTCATAATTTTTCAAGCTATTGGGGTGATTCCGGCTTGGGAAAATTCGCAAAATTGGGAAGGTCTTGGTCAGCCTCGTTTCCATGCCGTAAAAAATATGGCATTCACCACCTCCAACTGAACCCCATTATTTTGGGTGTTCCCCTGCCGGGACTTTTGGGGGACTTTTGATATGTTAACTGTTAAATGTAGAGTCTAAAACCGTTCAGATTTCTTTTGTGCGAATTTGTTCCGGGTCAGGCACTTTTTTATGTAAAAGTACTGGACTATTTAGATGTATCTATCTCTATATCGAGTATTAGGTCTCAGCATTAACGCCAATATAACAAAATACCTCTAGACACTGTCAAAAATATTTTCTCGTCTGTTCACCACCCAATTTTTGCTACCAAAATGGTCTCTATCATTATCCAGAAACTAGTTCCTATAGATTTTCGAGTATTTCAAATCACAACGAAATTTACAAAAGAAATCTTCCTTATATACCATATGTTCATCTGAAGAAAAAAAATGTCACTCTTTAAGCTTTGTTCTTTTTTGTTGTTGTTTTTTGTTTTTTTTTACACAATGTTACCATTACAGGAACTGTTCCTCTTATTTCCTTTGGTGTATATCCGCTGCATGATAAAGTATTTCATCACGTTTACTTCTAACGAAGCTTACAAGCTTTATATCCGATCTCTGTGGAGTATTTCTTAGCCTGATTAAGTAATTACATATGCACTTTGTAAATATGAATGGTTGTTTTCTATCTTTATATTTTCATTTACATCCATTTCTCTCTCTCTACACACACGCACACACATACACTCATACATATAGAAAAGGTATGAATGAGAATGAATATCTTCACAATACAAGAGATATTCATTCTCATTCACATACCTTTTCTACTTTTGTCAACATGAATACGGTTCACACATACATATATAATATATAAACATATATAAACATCTATATTATATATATGATATAGATAAACATACACATATATGAATATATACGTATTTATGTATATATATGTATCGTGTACGTAAATATATCAGTATGTGTGTATTGTGAATATATAAATATGCATATATATAAACACACGCATATATATGTGTATGTGTATATATATATACACTGACATGTATATGTATATATACATATATACAGATAGACATAAACACAATCACTATGTATATGTATAATATACAGATATATACATATATATGAATACATTACTATCTTTCTCATAGAAAGATATGAGAAGATGAGTAAAATAGGCTTCAAGGTCACACCCATCCGCGCACAAACCGACGAATGGTAGCCTAGGATAAAGGTCACCTAAGGACTATATAAACTCTCGGTCCTCCAACTATGAACATCAGTCGCAAGTTTAAAGTACCAACATGAAATTCGTGGGTGTCTGAAGTTTATTTTTGCCTTGACATTTATTTTACACGACAAATAAGAGACATATTGCAGCAAGAAAAATCGCATGTGTTGTACATTCACTTGATTTTCAGAGAATGGGGATCTATATCTTGAAATTTCTATTTTTTCAGCCAGTTCAGTCATTTATCTTTTGCTTCAGGTGATCCTCGCCTGCGTGACCGCCGTGGCGGTTGCCGCCCCCCAATATGCCTACGAGACCCCAGCCCCGACCTACCTCGTCCCCGCCGCCTCCAGCCGCGATGAGTCCGCTGAGGTGATCGAATTCATTCCTATCCTGAGGGACGATCGCGTCCACGAGGACGACGGAAGGTACAACCTGGACGTGGAGACTGCCAACGGAATCTCCATGTCCCAGTCCGGCTCTCCTGACGGTCCCGACGGCGCCATCGTTAAAGCAGGGCAATACTCGTAAGTAAATAAGCTTTATTTTAATCAACTTTAAGTCTACACAGTGACTTTACATTTCATAACAAACACCTCTTTTGGAGGAAGGTTTAGATCTATGAAACCTACAGTATACCAGCTACTGAAGCTTTCTTCTGTTACCATTTCAGTTACACCGCACCTGACGGTTCTCTGATCGAGATCAAGTTCGTAGCCAACGAGAACGGTTTCCAGCCCCAGGGCGCCCACCTGCCCGTGGCTCCCGAGTTCCCCCACCCTATCCCTCAGTTCGTCCTGGACCAAATCGCCTTCGCCGCCGAGGAAGACGCCGCCCGTGAACGTGCTGAGGCTCAGGCTTCCGCCCCCGCGCCCACCAGGCTGTACGGCCAGCCTCAGTAAATAGAACAAACGAGCTGTGATAGTTATAGTATTTATAATGTTGGATAAACGATTCTGCGGTGCAAACGAATAAAAGTATTTTTACCAAAAAGTTCGTTACTAAAATACTTCCCTTTTTAGGCTTATTTTAATCTTCTGATGTATACTATGCATGAAACTTCACGCATAATCGTCCTTATACAAACACAAAACTAATATATGTGTACGTGTGCAACATACACAAACACCCATCCACAAATTATATAGAAACATATATATCTATGTATATATGTGTAGCATATATATACATATATGTACGTATATATGTGTAGAGACATGCACACACGCATATGTTTGTGTATATATACAAATACATACAAATGTGTAAATATATATATGTGCTTCACACATCTTGAATACCACAATAGAGAGAGAGAGAAAGTACGTAAGAGAGTGAATCATAGCGAGTGAGTCTGAGAGAGAGAGAAAGAGAATTATAGCGAGTGAGTGAGAGTGAGAGAGAGTAAAAATAAGAAAATAAGAGAGTGAATCATAGCGAGTGAGTCAGAGATAGAGAGGGAAAAAGCGAATCATAGCGAGTGAGTCAGAGAGAGAAAGAGAAAGTAAGACAGAGAGAGTGAATCATAGCAAATAAGACAGAGATAGAGAGAGAAAAAGCGAGTCATAGCGAGTGAGTCAGAGAGAGAAAGAGAAAGTAAGAAAGAGAGAGTGAATCATAGCAAGTAAGACAGAGATAGAGAGAGAAAAAGCGAATCATAGCGAGTGAGTCAGAGAGAGAAAGAAAAAGTAAGAGAGAGAGAGTGAATCATAGCAAGTAAGTCAGAGATAGAGAGAGAAAAAGCGAATCATAGCGAGTGAGTCAGAGAGAGAGTGAATCATAGCGAGTGAGTCAGAGAGGGAGAGTAAGAAAATAAAGAGAGAGAGAATTAATCATAGCGAGTGAGTCAGGGAGAGAGAGAGAGAGAGTAAGAAAGTAAGAGAGAGAGTGAATTATAGCGAGTGAGTCAGAAAGAGAGAGATAAAGTAAGAGAGGAAAGAGTGAGATACCGAGAGAGGGAGGGTAGGAGTGAATGAGTGAGTGAAAGAAAGAAATAAGAAAAAGAAAAGAGATAGAGAAAGAGAGAAAGAGGGAGGGGAGGAGGGGAAAGAGGAAGGGAAAGAAAGAGAAAGAGTGAGAAAAGGGGGGGGGGTATAGTGGGAAAGTGAGAGAGAGCGAGCGAATCATAGCGAGTGAGTCAGAGAGAGAAAGAAAAAGTAAGAGAGAGAGAGTGAATCATAGCAAGTAAGTCAGAGATAGAGAGAGAAAAAGCGAATCATAGCGAGTGAGTCAGAGAGAGAGTGAATCATAGCGAGTGAGTCAGAGAGGGAGAGAGTAAGAAAATAAAGAGAGAGAGAATTAATCATAGCGAGTGAGTCAGGGAGAGAGAGAGAGAGAGTAAGAAAGTAAGAGAGAGAGTGAATTATAGCGAGTGAGTCAGAAAGAGAGAGATAAAGTAAGAGAGGAAAGAGTGAGATACCGAGAGAGGGAGGGTAGGAGTGAATGAGTGAGTGAAAGAAAGAAATAAGAAAAAGAAAAGAGATAGAGAAAGAGAGAAAGAGGGAGGGGAGGAGGGGAAAGAGGAAGGGAAAGAAAGAGAAAGGGTGAGAAAAGGGGGGGGGGGTATAGTGGGAAAGTGAGAGAGAGCGAGAGAGAGGGTCAGTGAGCGAGAGAGTGAGAGTGAGATAGCGAGAGACAGTGCGCGAGTGTTTGAGAGAAAGAATAAGTGAGAAATAATTATATACATTGAGAGAGAGTAAGGATATGAGAGTGAATGAATTCATTAATGAAAGAAAGG